ACTCACTAATAAACAATAAAGAATATATACGTATCTGAATTCTCTTGAGATTTTATCTTTTGAATTCGACTTGTAACTTTAATAATCCTTTCGAGGCTCAATTCGACGGACTGAATCGAATTCTGGTGCACTTGTGGAATCAAATCTTGTTATTCACTTTAGTGACTTGAATTGTGGTAGAAAACGCGGACTTACGTATAGTTACCAGACTTGGTTAATTCATCACATGAATTTAAAGCTATCACTGATATCACTTGATCATCGTCCGCTTTTACATCACTATCTTTAAGGAGATACCACTTGATTATCATCATAGTCCTTAAGATCACCACTTTTGTTATCACCCTTAACAGCATCACCCGTCATTACTAGGGATGGCAAATCGAAGATTTTTTGAAAACACTGCGCAGGCTGCGCAGCCTGCACGGGCCTGCATTATGGCTAATGCGGGCCAAAATTGCCAAATTTTTATGGTTTCCGGCAAACTCCGACCTTCCGAAATATTCCGCCTGCGCAGCGGCCCATCCCTAGTCATTACATCGCTTATTGATATCAAAGTATTATTCTATAGTACCCTATCGCCCTACGAGTTCCTTAACATTTATAAAAGACCCATTTCGCTTAACCAAAGTTAGCTTTAATTTCCGTACACCATTGGAGTTTGATTGGCATATTACTTATATTATTTCATTAGCTCTCCCAATCAACGGTTACACTAGCAGCAAGCTACCGTAGTGCAGGCCAGAATTCCATGCGCATGAAAGTTGAAAAAAGGCATCACCAGTTGTACTGCGCGTGAGTAATACAAACCTCTAAAAAGGAAATGGCCAATCAGAGTGCACAAAATTTGACTGTTCCGGATCAGCCGACATGAATTCCGAACACGTGTAAAAGAAGAAAAAAGCGAAAATACTCAAAAACTAGTGTTTAAATCGACCTTGATGCACTAATTAAAAATGTCAGAAGCGAAAATTTACATATAACAAGCAACAATCTATTGTTATAGCCTCTAATGTTAACGCCTAACCCTAAACGTCTATCTTTTCGCACTTAGTTTATTTACAAAATTCGATTTTCTTTTTCGGTTTGTGTTACTCGCGCAGTAAACTGGTTGTACCTCACTCTGTGCACCGATATTCCAAAAAAAGGAACAATGCCCATAAATGTTTGGCAGTCGTACATCACTGCGTCAATGTTCCAAAAAAAGGAACAATGCCCTATAAAAATAACTTACGAATCTAATCAGTATTTAATTAGTAGCTTCTCTTCGTTGTAAAAAAATAAAAATGTCTTTTTTTAACAACATTCAAAATTTTACAAATAATGTGGGTCAATTTATTGCTGACAATCAACCAACATTAGACTTACCAAAAGTAATTGATGGTGTTCGAAATTCAATCAGTGAAGTTCAAAATAATGTAGAACAATTTGTTTTGAACAATCAAGTAATTGACAACGTTCGAAATTCGATTGGTGATGTTCAAAATAGTTTGGGACAAGTCGTTGCTAATGTTGACATACCAAAAAGAACTGATGACGTTCAAAATAGTGTGAAACAAGTTGTCGCTAATGTTGCTATACCAAAAGTAATTAACGACGTTCAAAATAGTGTGAGACAATTTGTTTCTAATGTTGATATACCAAAAGAAATTGACAATGTCCAAAATAGTGTAAGACAAGTTGTTGCTAATGTTGATATGCCAAAAGGAATTGATAATGTTCAGAATAGTGTGAGACAAGTTATTGCTAAGGTCTATATATCAAAAGGAACTGATAACGTTCAAGATAGTATGAGTCAAGTTGTTGATAATGTTGACATACCAAAAAGAACTGACGACGTTCAAAATAGTGTGAACCAAGAACAAGTTGTCACTAATGTTGATATACCAAAAAGAACTGATGACATTCTAAATAGTGTGAACCAAGAACAAGTTGTCGCTAATGTTGATATACCAAAAAGAACTGATGACGTTCAAAATAGTGTGAACCAAGAACAAGTTGTCACTAATGTTGATATACCAAAAAGAACTGATGACATTCTAAA